CACTACTTGACAGAACCATATATTGGGACTCTAACAAAAGATTATCTTATTTCCTTCAGGGCACAAACAAATATGTAGTCACTAGAACTGCTAAGTTTATAGTCAGGGCTGTCCAACAGAGAACATGTTTTATAGATCACATTGGGGTTGCATGCAAAGGTGATGAATTCATCTAAACATATATTGTTTTTGAATTGTATATCTATGCATTCTATTTTATCTTATAGTATTTTATCCTACTTTTTATCCTTACTTTATCTTACCTTACTATATTTTATCTATTTTATCTCACTGTAGTCTATTTTATCTCATTTTATTGTATTTCACTTTATTTCGTTTTATTGTAGTTTATTGTGGCTGATGCCCATGCTTTGATATGGTCAATTGACTAATCAGTAATCTAGGTAGACATCAGCAGCCTACCTTCAACAGAGCCTTAAGAACAATTTTCAGCCTAGCTTTTAATAAAATTATTTTAAAAATGATTTTCATTTGAGGAGTCTGCCATTTTGTTTAATGTACTGAAATTGTCTAAGTTTTAATGTAAAGTACCATGACCTAATAATAGTGATCTAGTACATTCTTAAAGACATACATTGATATGATTAATATTAATTAATTTCTGGAAGCTGAGTGGTTGTCCCATAAAGCTTCCTGAAGGTGTTTTGAAAATGAGAGTGATACTGACTGGAACTTATTTAATCACAATATTCTGCCTCTGTACAAAGTATAACGCAAGCACCATATTGGACAACTGATGGAGTCTGAGAATGATTTAGTCTTTCAATCCCACCAGAATGGTAAACAAATAGGGCAAAAAACAAAAATCATCCAAACCAGGGATGATTAAACATTTGGACTTTCTATGCAACATACAAATATAACATTTTTGGAAGACGAGTTTAAAAAATGCCATTATATTGTCTAATGAGGAGTTTATAACCAGGGAATTCTCTTACTATTAAGGTTTGCCATCTTCAGCATATCCTGCTGTTCTTCTGGGGTTAAGCAGGTTCCTATATTTCCCAAGATAGCATCCAACTCGCTAAAACCCAGTTCTTTTTCTTTAATTAAAAAAATAGTAATTAATATTGATTTTTCCAGAAATAATCCTATCATTTCAGTAATAATCCCATTAGCTGCCTCATTTTACTTCATAGCAATAATTATTATCCCCACCTTGCAGATGGGGAACTGATACAGCAACAATGCAGAAGCCTGGCCAGTAAGGTTATATTAAGCTGAAGTTTTGACCAAGGCCTCTCTCTGCCTAGCTGCTTCTAGCCAAACCTGGTAAATCACAAAAACAAAGGTGGTCAGACCTCATTAGGATTTGGATGAGATTCCACAAGAAAAATCAAGGACATAGGCTAAATGGGGATATAAATCATTACCAGGAAAAGACAATGGCAACCACTTCAGTATTGTTGCCCCAAACCCTACATGGATGTGTTCATGAAGATTCATTCAAGGGAATCTTTTCCTTTTTCTTTGTCCCATATCTAGAGTAAATCTTGCATCTGCTAAGTCAGCAGCTCAGTAAATTTGCCCCATAGCATGTACATGCACTAAGACTTTCTGGCTTTTTTCCCCCTGACTCACTTTTGGTTATCTTAAGATACCTACAGTCTCATGAAGTAGGCTTTTCACTTCCTTTTCTATAGTTGGTTCTTCTGTGTCCTAATCAAACAGGCTTTAGCCCCAGAGCACCCGCTGACTTACAAAAACTGCAAACTTCAGTCTACCATCTATCTATCTATCTATCTATCTATCTATCTATCTATCTATCTATCTATCTAT